CCCCACTCAAGGGCGATCGCCCCTCAGCCGGGGAAGTTTCCCCCAAACCCAGGGGCGCTCCCCCCACACCCAGGGGAGCCCCCCACTCACTCAGGAACGGTCACCCCCCACCTAGGGACAGTTGCCCCACAGCAAGGGGAACCCTCACGTAACGCAGCGATGGCCGCGCCCCCCCCACGGGACGCTGCCCCCCACCCGGGGACAGTCGCCCTCCCCCCCGGGGTGCTGTTCAGCTGCGCCTGCCGGGACGTGCTGGGCTGGGGGTTCGCCGAGGGGCGCCTTGAGATCTTCTATGGGGCGGGCGAGTGGCTGGGGCTGCGGCTGCCCCACGGCGCTGCCCCACAGGTGGTGGCCAGGCTCCAGGTGAGCGGGGCAGGGGGCAATGGGGGGGGCAGGAATGGGGCAGGGATGGTGGGGCAAACTGGGGGGGAAACAAGGGACAATGGGTCAGGCTTGGGGGGGAATGGGGGGTGCGGTAGGGCAGGGATGGGGGACTGTGGGGGTGTGCTGTGGGGCTCAGACAGGGCAATTGTCCATAGGGGTCAGTGTTGGGTTGCCATGGGCTGATATTGGGTCACACCCCGGAGGTCCCTGTCAGGATCCCCGGAGATTCCTGGACCCCTCCCACTCGATGCCCCCCCGCCGGTGGTGATGCGGGGATGCGAGGTGCGGGGGGCTCTGTCGGGGTCCCCGTGCCCTCCCTGACCCGGTGTGTCCCCCCCGCAGGCGGTAACGCGGGGGTGCGAGGCGCGGGAGCTGGCGCTGCCGCGGGGGGCCGGGGGCCGCCGGGGGTTCCGCGTGGACCCCTCGGGGGTCGTGACGGCTGTGACGCGGTTCTCCTTCGCCGAGACTGCGGGGCTGCGGCCCGGGACGCGGCTGCTGCGCGTGGGACACCGTCCCCTTCCCCGCGGGGACCCCCGGCTGCTGCGGGCGCTGCTACGGCGCCCCTCGGGCCCCCTGACGCTGCTGCCTCCCGACCGCGACGGGCGGCCCCGGCGGTGCGTGCAGGGCGGGGGGCTCGGGCGGGGTCCTGTGGGGAATCGGTGGGATGGGAAACAGGGGGGATTGGGGTTGGAAGGGTAATGGGGGGCAGTGGGGGGAAATGGGAGGCATTTGGGGGAATAGAGGATGTGGGGGCAGCGAGGGGGTTTGGGGACGGGGGGCATGGGAGGAGTTGGGGGGCCTTTGGGGACAAAGGGGGCATTGGGGTTGGGAGGGAAATGGGGGAGCAGTGGGGGGCGGAATGGGGGGAATTGGGTGGCACGGGGGATCTTGGAGGGACATGGAGAAGGCAGGGACATGGGGGTCAAGTGGAACTGGGACCTGGACACGCCGGTGTGTCCTCACTCTCCCCCCGCCATGTCCCCCTCACCTTTGCCCCCCAGGAGTTTCTTGGAGCTCTATGCCCGCTCGCTGGAGCAGGGCCGGGGCACAGGGGGGGACCCCGGTATCGGGGACCTTGGAGGGGATATCGGGGACACCAGCAGCGACTCAGGGGGAGACAGTGACAGGGGGGATCATGGGGTGGGCCCAGTGGGGCTGCACCCCAACACCCTACAGCTCCTGCGCTCGCTGGCACTGGATGAGGAGAGCACCCCCTTTCCCCCTGGGGGTGGCCCCCCCAGCCCGGGGACCCTCAAGAGCCCGACCGGATGCCCCCCCAGCCCGTGAGTTACGCTGGACACGGGAAACCCCCCAAATCCTCTGGGATCCCCCAGTACCCTTGGAATACACCTCCCAAGCCCCTGGGACCCCCCCAAATCCCCCAGGAATCCCATGCCCTCCCATGAACCCTTCTAACCCTCACTCCCATGGCCCCCCAGGTCCCCCCTGGCTGACCCCACGCCTGACCTGTTGCTGCCGCACCACAGCCCCCCCCAGTCCGGTGACCCGGTGAGTCCCTTTGTCCCCCTATGTTTCCCCCTGTCCCCCCATGCTCCTATGAGGCTGCTGACCCTACCCTCGTCGCCCCATGTGTGTCCCTGTGTGTCTCCCCCAGTCTCCCTGTGCCCCTGCTGACCCCCCCTGTCCTCAGGGTCCCTCTCTGGATGCTGGTGGTCCTGCAGCCCCCCTCGAGCCCAGCCCCCCCCCGGGCCCCTCGCTGCGGCACTCCCTGGGCAGGCGTGAGTGGCCCGGACCCCCTGTGTTCCCCGTGTCCCTCCCCTGTTTCACCTCATGTCCTCTTCTGTGTCTCCCCTCCATTCCCCATCCTATGTCTCCTGGGGGTGTCCCTGTCCCTCTGTGGGGGAGTGTCCCCCATCCCATATCCCATGTCTCACATCCTACGGGGGTGACCCCTGCCCCCTGGGGGCCCCCCATCTCCTTGAGGTGTCCCCAGCCCAGGTCCCCTTCACCTGGGGGTGTTCCCATCCCCTGGGGTGTCTCCCCTCATCCTCGGGGTGTCCCCTGTCCATATAGGTGTCCCCTGAAGGTATGCCCTATCCCGTGGAGGGGGGTCCCCTGGGGGTCGTCCCCTCACCACTTGGGTGTCCCTGTCCCCTGGGTGTCCCCATCCCATGGGGGGTGTCCCTGTCCTATGCTCCCTGTGCTAGGGGAGTGTCCTGTGGGGTTGTCCCACATCCCCTGGAGGGCTCCCCTCCAGTTCCCTGGGTGTCCCCCACTGTTGCCTCCCCCGCCAGTGCTGTCGGGGTCTGGGGAGCCCCAGGAGGAGGAGTGGGAGCTCATCGCCCGCCTGGCCACGGCCTGCAGTGGGGTCCTGGAGGCCATCGCCCGGGGGGGGGGGGGGGGGCGGGGGGCTTTTGAGGGGGGCTTTGGGAGGGCTGAGGGGATCCTGGAGGTCATTGCCTGGGAGGGGAGAGGGGGGTTTTGGGGGGCTGAGGGGTCCTGGAAGCTGTTTCTTGGGGGTTGAGGGGTGTTTTGGATAAGAGGCAGATCTGGGAGAGCTTGGGGGTGGGGGGCTGAGAGGGTGAGGGGGCCTAGGGGGACCGGGGGGAGGCTTGGGGGGTTGGTGTTGGTCTGGGGGCCTTGTGCAGATGGAGGGGATGGGGAGGTTGAGGACGTTCTGTGGGGATGGGGTGTCAAGGGGGTGAGGGGATCCTGGGGGACTGAGGGGAGCTGAGGGAGTTGGGGGAATGGGGGTTGTGGGAATGGGAAGGATCGGGAAGGGGGGGGATCTCACTGGTTGTGGGAATGGGGAGGGTCAGGAAGAGGGAGGTCTTGGGGCTCCCCATGTAGGGGTCTTACATTCCTCCGCTTCTCCCGCCAGGGCATCAGCTCCGAGAGCCCCTCAACATCGGGGTCCAGCAGAGCCTGAGCCCGGCGGTCCCTGAGGATGAGTATGAAGGGGGAGGCTGGGAGGAGTAGGAGGGTGGAGGGGGTCCCCTCAGGGTCCAACACCCCCTCGTGCCCTCCCCAGGTCCCGGAGCCTCTCAGAGAAGGTGGCACAACTGGAGGCAGCGCTGAAGCGGCTGCAGGAGGGTCTGCAGGAGGTGGGGGGCACTGGGGGGCACACTGGGAGGACACTGGGGAGGACACTGGGAGGCACTGGTGGGGCTGGATGGGAACTGGGGTGCACTGGGGTGCACCAGAGGGACACTGTTGAGGGATTGGGGGGCAGTTGGGAACACTGGAGGAGAAATGGGGAGTACTGGAAGTCACTGGGGGGACACTGGGAGAGAACTGGGGGAACGCTGAGGTGGTTGATCTATGGGTCTGTGTGGGGCAGGGGGCTGACCCGTGGCTCTGTGTGGGGCAGGGCCACGAAGTGCAGCAGCGGCTCCAGGCTGAGCTCCGGGGGCTCCGTCGCAGCACCCGGCGGCTGCAGCAGGGCCAGGAGGACGCGAACGCGCGGCTCAGCCGGGTCACGAGGCTGCTGCACCCCCCTGGGGACCCCCCAAGCCCCCTGACACCCCCCAACAGCCCCCGGGGGGGACCCCCGACCTCTCCGGGGATCCCTTGACATCCCCCAACACCCCTTGAGACCCCTGGGGGAGACCCTCCGACATCTGTGGGACTCCACAGGACTCCGGGACTGTGGCAGCCCCCTGGCATGGGGGCACCTGCACATGGCATGGTCAGGTGGGCACAGTCACCTCGGGCACACTCACCTGGGCACACTCACCGTGGGCATACTCCCACCCTGGGCACACTCCCACGCTGGGCACACTCACCTGTGCACACTGAGTGCAGTCACATGCCATGAACACGCCGTGCACACTCATGTCCTGTGCACACCATCCCCGTGCCACACACGCTCATAGCTGCGCACACTGATCCTGCAGGCCCCCTGCACGCTCACACCTCGCTCACACTCGCCTGGCACGAGCCAATGGTGCCCACTGCAGGCCGATGGTGTCCATCCCATGCACGCTCACCCCCCCCTTGCACAACCACCCCTTGCACACTCACCCTGTGCACACTCACAGCTCCCCCATCCGCCCCCACTAACTGTGAAACTGAAGCTGTGACTCCCTCCCATGTCCTCCCAATGTGACACTGGACCCTACATGTGTCCCTCCATGTCCCCTCCATGTGACACTGGACTCCTCTGCCCCATCTCCCCTCAAGGGGACACTGGAAACCGCCCCAAAGGAGATGTGCTGGGACCACACTGATCCCCCCAACAATAAAATCCTTTGGCCTCAGCAGCCCCAGCCTATGACTGGGGGGGGTGAGGGGGAGTGGGGGCGGCACCCCTAGTTCTGCCAGCTCTGTCCCCTTCCCAGGGATCCTGTGGACTGACCCCGGGAAGCACCAGACTCCCATCCCATGAGAACACTGTGTGCTGGGAGTGCAATGAGGGTGACTTGGGGGGGGGGTCCCAGGTCCTGTCCCAGCTGGTGGGATAGTAGAGGGATGTTGAGAGACCCCAATGTCCTCACCCTGTGGCCCTGGTGGGTGTCATGGCAGGGGGAGGACAGCCCAATGTCCGGACCCTGTGGCTCCTCCCCACCACGACTTCCTCTGCAGTGGGTGGCAGTGGTGTGGGGTGAACCCGGGTGTCCAGGGTGCCGTGGAGAAGGAAGTGGGATGGGACGTGGGGCGGGACGTGGGGCAGGAACATTCTGGACACCATTGGGAAGGGACGGAGTGATGGCAGGGCTGAAGACGGCAAGTGGGGAGGACATTGACGGCTCCTTTGAGCTGCAGGTGGAGGTGGAGGAGGGAGGTGCCATGGGGCAGGGAGATGCCACAGGGCAGGGAGATGCTGTGGGGCAGCCCAGCCCCCCAGCAGCTCTCCGCATCCTTGCCCTCCGTGTCACCGGGGACCTGCACATTGGTGGCCTCATGCGCCTCATCGTGGAGACCATTGGTGAGTAACCTGTAGCCCTGACCTCTGGCCAGACCCACAGCTGGGATCCACAGCCCTGACCCCCAGTTGTGCCCCACAGTGGCAGGAGGCTGGACCCCGGTGTCCAGGCCCCCCAGCTCCAGGCCCCATAGGAAAGGGTTGTAGGGGCATCCAGCCCCCCTGAAGTGGCATGTGGTTGAGAGAGGATGTTGGGGGAGGATCCAGCCTGGGGATACTGAGCCCTTATCGAGGGGTCCCAGCGTCCCCCTACTTCCCAGTTCCCCTCCCCAGGTCCTCCCCGGCCAGGGCGATAAGGGACCCATGGGCTATAAATAGCTCCAAGGGTGGCTCCCCCCCGGGACCCATGGCCTCCTGAGCCCCCCTGATGTGGTTTGGGGGTACAGTGGGACCCCTACAGACCTCACAGCACCCCACAACTCCCCCATAACCCCTACTCAGTAACCCCTAACCCCACGCCAGTTCCTCACAGCCTCCTATAGCATCCCCGTAGCCCCCCATAGCTCCCAATAGCCTCTGACAGCCCCCATTAGAGCCCTACATACCCCCCATTGCCCCATTACAGGCCCCCTGTAGCCCCTCCGATGTGGTTTGGGGGTATAACAGGACCTCCCATAGCCCCCTTTAGCACCCTCTAACCCTCCTCCAGTCCCTCACGGCCATCCCCCTGCCATGGCACCCCACTGCCCCCTCCCAGCCCTATCACACCACAGCCTCCCCTGACGCCCTTTCCTCCAGGGGAGGCCCGGGACTGGTCGGACCACGCGCTGTGGTGGGTGCAGCAGCGGAGGTGGCTGCTGCCCCCCGGGCCCCCCCTGGACGCGCTGGGTGTCGGGGGGGGCTCCCGGCTCCGCTTTGCCCCCCGGCACCGCCCGCTGCGGCTGCGGCTCCCGGGCGGGCACGTCCTGCGGCTGCACCTCGACTTCGCCAGGACCCCCGGGCGGGGGGTGGCACGGGTCTGCAGTCTGCTCGGTGTGTCGAGGGGGTTCCGGGAGCGCTGGGGGGAAATTGGGGGGGTCACTGGAGGGGGTTGAAGGGTGATTAGGGTGTCTGGGGGGGCTTTTGGGGGTCTGGGAGGGCCAGAGTGGTCTGGGCAACGATGGAGTGGAGTTGGGGGGGGATGAAGGGGTCTGGGGGGTCCCGGGGGGATCTCAGGGGGGAACTGAGGCGTGCCGAGGGGTCTCGGGGAGTCCCGGAGGGCACTGAGGGGTCCCGGGAAGGTGCCTGGGGTCCCACTGTGCGCGGGGGTGGGGGTCGCAGGGATCCGAAACCCCGAGGAACTTTCGCTGCTGCGTCCGGAGGAGGAGGGGGGAGGGGAGGGGCGGGGGCGGAAGGGCCGCGCCCCCGCCCAGGTCCCCCCCGACCTGGACCTGACGCACCTGCGGCCAAGGGCAGGTGAGCGGAGAGGGGGGGAGCGATGGGAGGCCGGGGGGGGCCGGATCCCCCCGTGTCCTTCCCACCTTCCCCGACCTCCTGTCTCCCCCCACTCAGATGAGGCCCCTCCCCCTGCGCTGCCCCCCGAGCAGCTCCGGGTTCTGGTGACCCCCCGGGGGGGGAGGGACCCCCCAACCTTCCCCCGGACCAGGCGCGGGAACCTCCTCCTGCGGCGCGCGCAGCTGCACGCGCGGTGAGGGGCGGAGCCGCGGGGGTGGGGCCCGGTGGGCGGGGTTTGAATGGGGCGGGATTCGGTGGTTGGGGAGGGGTTAGAGTTGTGGGCGGGGCTTAAAGGCGGGGATCGGGGCGGGATTGGGGGGTGTTGGGCGGGGCGGGGGCGAGGCTTAGGGTGGGTGAGGGGCGGGACACGACTTGGTGGGGTGGGGTTTGCTCGGGTGTGGCTGGGCGGGGTTTGTGGGCGGGGATGAGGGTTACGGGCGGTGCTCGGGCGAGGTTTGTGGGCGGGATCGAGCGCGCAGGACCCCCCCAACCACGCCCCCCCTTTCCCCGCAGGTGGCTGGACGCCTCGCGGTCCCTGATGGAACAGGACGTGGTGGACGACGAGGAGCTGCTGCTGCGCTTCAAATACCCCTGTGCCATGGGGCTGGACCCCCAGGTACCCTCAAATCCCCCCTGGTGACCCCTAACGCCCCCCCAGGGACCCTCAACCCTCCCATGTCACTTCCCAAACACCCCTCAGGACGGGGTTAGGGAGCCCTTGTGGGTCCCTGCTGGGATTTTGGGGGTCCCTGGGGGTTAAAGCCCCCCTGGGTGCCCCCCCGTGCCCCAACACTGTGATGCCCCCAGGAGGGCGGGCTGCGCATTGCGCTGCTGCATGAGCAGGCACGCGGGGCCCTCCTGGCAGAGGAGATCGACTGTACCGAGGAGGAGATGCTGCTCTTTGCTGCCCTCCAGGTACCCCAGAACACCCTTGGACAATCTGGCACCCCACTGAACCCATCCCCTGATCCTCTGCGACCCTCCTCAAAACCCCTGTACCCCAAAACCCACCCCAGATTCCCTGGGAGCCCCTGGGACCCCCAAGAACCCTCCAGACTCACCCAAACCTTCCTGGACATCCCTGAGCCCCAAACACCTCTGGACCCCTCAGTCTCCCCTTGACCCCTCTGAGACCCCCCTGAATTCTCCTGACCCCTCTGTGACCCCTCCAATTCTCCTGACCCCCCATGACCCTCTCCATCCCCCAGTACCAGATAGATGGGGCAGAGGGGGGTGATGGGGCCCCCAAGGGCCCCCTCGAGCCCCAGGACCTGGACACAGCCCTGGACAAACTGGAGCTGAGCCTGGAGGAGGAAGGGACCGCCATCCTGCCAGTGAGACTGGGGGCACTGGGGGGGCACTGGGGGGGTGTTTGGGGAGGACCTGGAGGGACTGGGAGGGGTTTGGGGAGACTGGGGAACACTGGGATGGATATGGAAGGCCCTGAGGAGCACTGGCTGGTACTGGGTGCCTCTTCTGGCCACGCTGGGGGGACTGGGGGGCACTGCTGGGGGGGGAGGGGTATGAACTGGTGGGGGCTGGGGTGGGGGGCACTGGGGGAGGCACTGGGAGTCAGTGGGGATTACTGAGGTCTGGGGGAGTCCCCAGGAGGAGCTTGGAGCTGCCCCTGAGCTGGTGGAGGAGCTGGAGATCTACAGGTACCCCCACAACCCCCAAACCCCTCGCCTGACCCCAAAATTGGGGTTCCCCCAGGCCCTCCCTCCTGGCCATTCTGGGGGTCCCTCTTGACCTCCCCCAACCCCCAAACTTGGGGTATCCCCAGGTCCTCCCGCTGGCCGTTCTGGGGGTCCCGACCTGCCCGGGCCGTGCTCTCGGGGTCATCACTGTCACTCTGGAGCCTCCCGAGATCGGGGGGGCCCCCACAGCAGCTCAACCTCCGCGGTGAGACCTCAAAACCCCCCCCCGGGCCCCCAGACTCCCTCTGGCACTCACAAATCACCCTGGGACCTTCCCACAAGAACCCCCCCCAGACCCCCAAATCCCCTGGGACCTCCCCATTCCCCCCATATGGGCCTCCTAAGACTCCCTTGGGACCACTGGGGCCACCCCCCAGGACTCCCAGGTTCCCCCCAGACCCTCCTGAGACAAAGCCAACTCCCCTCCTTGGTTCCCCCAGGGCCCTGAAATACCCCCTCAAGAACCTCCCCCATCTCCCTCTGGGACCCCACCAGGGCTCACAAATTCTCCCCCAGACACCCCTGGGACACCCCGAGCTCCCCTCCTGAGTTGCCAACAATCCCTTTGGAAACACCCTCATCTCCCCCCAGGACCCTTCTGGGCCCCCCTTAGAGTCCCAAAGCCTCCCCAAACCCCTCTAGGATGCCCTGAACCCCCTTCCTGGGCTGCATCCAGGCCTGCCTGACCCCCCCATCCCCCCAGGCTGTGAGGTGACCCCTGACATGGATTTGGGGGCGCAGAAGTTTTACATCAAACTGCGGGTGCCGACACCGGAGGGAATGAGCGAGACCCTCCTGCGCTGCCGTGATGTGGGTGGGAGGGCAGGATAGGGGTGGGGGGGGGCACTGAGGGCTCTGGGAGACCACAGGGACTATGGGAGGGCCCCACTGGGAAACAGGAGGAACGGGACATGGGAGTTCAGGGAGTCCTGGAGTGTTTGAGGGCAGTTGAGGGGGGTCTCATGGTGATTTGAGGGTCCTTGGGGGCTCGGGGCGGGGAGGTTTAGAGTAGTCCTGAGATTCTGGGGTGGGGGTGTCTCAGAGGGGCTCTTGGGGGGTTATGAGGTCTCAGGGGGGTTTTTTTTTGCATTCTCAGGGGTTTTGATGGGTCCCAAGGGGGTTTGGGGGTCCTGGAGGGCTCAAGGGGTCCCGGGAGAGTTCTGGGGGGTTTGAGGGAGTTCGAGGGGTCCTGGGGGAGTTCTGCAGGGGTCTTTGAGGAGTCTCAGAGAGCTGGTGTGATACTCCCACCCCCCCAGGCCCCCCAGTGTGCCCGTTGGGTCGCCGGGTGCCGCTTGGCCTCGCGTGGGGGGTCCCTGTCGGCCACATCGCTCGGGGCGGAGGCTCAGGGGGTCCTGGGGGTCCAGCCAGGGAGGGAAGACCCCACTGTGCCTCCCTGGGCCCTCTCACGCCCACCCCCAGATCCGCAGCAGCTGTTGCCCCCCCGCTTCCAGCGCAAGTTCAAGGCCAAGCAGGTACTGGGCCCTCCCATCCCTGTACAGCCAGCTGCTGTTCCCCCAGTCCCTGGGGTGCCCCCAGTATCCCCCCCACTCTCCCCTCCCTCACAATGGCCCCCCCCAGCTCACCCCCCGTCTGCTGGAGGTTCTGCACCGTGTGGGGGCACTGACCCCAGGCCAGGCCCGGCTGCGCTTCGTGGAGGCCTGGAGGGCCCTGCCGGAGTTCGGGCTGGGGCACTTCGTGGTGAGGTACTGGGGGCACTGGGAGGGAGGGCTGCCACACTTTGAGGTGCTGTACACTGGGTGCACTGCTCAGGGCCAGGCCAGCACTGGGGAGGGCCCCGAGTTCCAGGGGTCCCATGTGTTTTGGGGGGGGGGTGTCTCACAGGTTCCAGGGTGCCAGGCGTGATGAGATTTTGGCTGTGGGCCCCTCACAGCTGCTCCGCATCGATCCTGGCTCTGGCACCATCACCCGCAGCTGGAGGCACAGTGACCTGCGCCAGTGGGACGTCAACTGGGACAGCCAGCAGGTACTGAGGACTGGAGGGGAGCGGGAAGCACTGGAAGTGGACTGGCTCTCACCCCCATCCCCTTTTTCCCCCAGGTGCGGCTGTGGCTGACTGGGGACGTGACGCTGGGGCTGCGGGTGCTCTCGGCAGCCCCCCGGGTGCTGCACCAGTTCCTGGGGGGGTATCTGGTGCTAGGGGGGCAGCGGCCAGGGCAGCCCCCAGACCCTGATGTGCTGAGGCGGCTGATGGAAGGGGGGGATGACCCCTGATGCCCCCAAGCCCCATGCAAGAGTGGCCTCATGCAAATGCCCCCATCCCACTGTTGGCATAAGCCTCAACTCCCCCAATCCCTGTTCCTCCCACAGCAGTTGTGCACCCTCCCTCCCTCCTCCTGCTGTGCAAGGCACTTGTGCAAGGCTTGTGCAACACTGGTGTGATGGAGCTGAACGTGCTTACTGTGCTCAACAGAATGGTGGTGGCTGTTGGGCCTCACAGGCAAGGGGGTCACAGTCCATCCTCGTGTGACAAGGCCACAACTATGTCCTCATATGAGGGGTCTGGATCCCCACAATCCTCAGGGGCTCTCATCTCACTGTCCTTGTGCAATGGGATCCCACTGCCCCTCCTGGACTCCCTGGACCCCCAAATCACCCCAGGGCACCAACTTTCCTCCTGGGCTCCCCCCACCCTGGTTTCCCCACTCATCTCCCACCCTCCAAGAGACCCCCAGCCCCCTCCCCTCCTCCCCAGCCCCCCAAGGCTGGGCCACTGCTCCGCTCTTTATTTGGGGTCACAGCACCCCAGAACCAACACAGGATGGAGGGAGGGAGGGGCAGCACCCCTTGTCTCCCCAGGGAGATCGAGGTGTACCCGGGGGGGGTCCCAGAGGGGTCCCCGGGATTTGGGGGGGTCACCGGATGGCAATGAGCCCCACATCCATTAGCTTCTGGATCTTCTGGGCGATTAGAGGGTTCTTGAGGTGCCTGGAGGGAAAACGGGGATCAGCATGGGCACAGGGGGGACCCAAGGATGGGCGGGGATGCCTGGGACCCCCCTTGGAACACCCCTCCACATCTTGGGGACACCCACTGACACACCTGGGGACGTGCTAGGCAACCCTGGGCAACCTCATGGAGACTCAGTGAGCTGTGAGAGACGGGCAATGACACCCCATCAGACCTTGGGGACCTCCAGGACGACCTCAGAGAGAGTTGGGGACCCCCCCCGCACAGCTGCAGAGGGTTTGGTGTGGCTCCTTCAAGGCTCAGTGACCACCACAGGGTGGCTGCTAACATCCCAGAAAATTCCCCCGGGACTTACTCGCTGAGGGCCTGGGGGTCCTTCTGCATCTGCTCGAGGATGAGGCGCATGGCCGGGTCCCCCATGATCTGCTGCACCTCGGGGTCGGCGAGCGCCCGGCGCCGCAGCTCCTCGGGGGGCTCTGAGCGCTGCTGCTGCGCCCGCAGGCACCGCCGCTGCCCCTCTGCCGCCTCCTGGGGGACACACGGGGCATCGTGGCGGGTCACAGGGGTGTTGTAACCCCAGGCAGCGCTGCCGCCACCTCCTGGGGGGCAGGGCGGGAGGCACAGAGATCAGGGGGGTTGGTTCACAGGGGATGCTCTAACCCCAGGCCGTGCCACTGCCCCTCCACTGCCTCCTGAGGGTGACAGTGATCACAGAGGGGCACATGCGGGGGGTCACAGGAGTCAGGGGCGGTCACAGGGGGTGCTGCACCCCCGGGTAGTGCCACTGCCACTGTGCTGCCTCCTGGGGATTACAGGGGGCTGGGGGGCCACGGGAGTCACAAATTGCTGTACTCTCAGGTCCTGCAGTGCCACTGGGGGGCCCGGGTAAGCAGGGGCTCAGAGGTGGTCACAGGGGTCAGCAGGGGCTCAGGGGGTTGCGGGCTCACCTTGCAAGTGGGGTCGAGGTCCAGGGCACGCTGATAAACCTCCATGGCCTTGGTGTAGTCGCGCATGGCCTCGAGCGCCGCCGCCTTCCGCGTGTAGCCCTTGACTGGGGGGGAGCAATGCACACAGGTACAGGTGAGAAGGGAAAATGTGGGTACAGGTGAGGGGTGGACACAGAAACAGGTGAAGGAAGGAGAAAGGAGTACAGGTACAGGTAGAGATGGCTGAAGGCAAAGTAGTGAATGGGCAGGGCCTAGCCCCTCCAGTGCCCCCCACATTCCCCACTCACTGAAGGTGGGTTCCAGGCGAATGCACTCCTCACAGTCCTGTGGGAAAAAGCAGATTCAGAGGCATCTCAAGAGCCCCAAACTGACCCCTATACCCTCAGACCAGCCCCAGGATCCCTCCTACCCCCCCCAAGACAGCCTCCAGCCCCTCAATTCAGCCCCCTGGCACCCCCAGCCCTGTACCTTGAGAGCGAGGGGGAACTCGAGCAGTTTGGTGTAGCAGGCGGCACGGTTGCTGTAGAGCCGGGCCTCATTCGGGTTGCGTCGGATCGCCTCGCTGTAGTGCCGCATGGCCTGGGGGTAATCCCCTAAAATGCGACACCCCCCCACCTGCTGTCAGAGAGTGCCCCCCAGACGCAGGGCAGGGCCCCCCCAGCCCACCACAGCGCCCCCCCCACCTCGCTGGAAGCACTCGTTGCCCTTGTTCTTTTCCTCCAGAGCCAGGTCGGGGTCAATGTAGGCCAAGCGCTCCTGCTCCTTCAGGATCTTCTCAGCCTGTGGCAACAATTAGGGGGTTCGGGGGGAGCCCAGGAGGGCTGCCCTCCCTCCCTCCGCACCCCCCACGTCACCTGCTGACACTTCTTGAGCACATCGGGTGTGCGGTGCTCAGCCAGGGACTTGTTGTAGAAGTGGATGGCGTCCTTGTACCGCTCCTCGCGCAGGTAGGAATTCCCGATTCGTGCGTATGCCCTGGGGGAAATGGGGGGTCGGGGGGTGATTTGGGGGGAACCAGAGAGGATACTCCTGGTTCCAAACCTCCCAACTCACTTGGCGATCTGCCGGTAATCCTCCCGGTTCTCCCGTCCCAGCTCGATGGCGCGTTCACACAGTGCCCGGCACCGCTCGTAGTCACCCGTCTCAAAGTACACGGCTGTGTTTGGGGGCAGGTTTGGGGGTTCAGGGGGGTTTTGGGGTTTGGGAGGTGCTCAGGGGGGATTGAGGGGTCACGCACCTGCCTGGTTGGTGACGTAGGTCATATTGGTGGGGTCTAGCTGCTCGGCTCGGGTGTAGTGTTCCAGCGCTGCTGGGAACTCCTTCCGCTTGTAGGCGGCATTGCCCAGCTCCTTCTCCCGCTGTGCCTGATGGAGGGCGGTCACCCTAAAACTGGCTGGGACCCCCCAAACCCTAAAAGCTGCTGTCCAGACCCCCAAACCCGGCCAGCTCCTGCTCCCGCTGAGCCTGGGGGGGTGTCGCCCCAAAACTGGCTGTGACCCCTTCCCAAACCCCAAAACCTGCTCACCCGTCACCCAGCTTCTTGTCCTGCTGTCCCTGATGGAGTAGATCGTGTCAAAACTGGCTTGGACCCCTCCAAAGGTTGGCCAGCCCCTCTATCATCCCGCTACTTCCCCGCTGCACCTTCTACAGGGAGATCACCCCAAAACTGGCAGGAAACCCTCATCCCTAAACTTGATTGAGACCCTCCCTGAATCCCAACTCCTCCCCCAGCACCACAAAACCTGCTCCTAAATCCCCTAACCCCCTCACCCACAAACCTGCCATACAGCCCCCCCGAACTCTCCTCAGCTGCCCCAAACCTGCCCACCCGCCTTGTCTATCACGCTGCTCTTCAGGTGTGCAGGGGGGTTGTGTGTCCTCAAAACACCTCCCTCCCCTCCTTACGGGTTTCGGGAACACCCCCTCACCTCCTGCTTGTTCTGGGGGAGCTCCTGGGGTGGTGGGGGCTGGGCAGGGGGCGGGGGGGGTGGGGGTGGCGGGGAGGGGGCCTCCTCCTCCTCCTCAGCCCCGCTCAGCTCCACCCCCAGCAGCACACTCAGCGTCGTCATCACCCGGGGGTCCTGCAGCTTCCTGGCGGGAGGGGCAGGGGTGCGTGGGGAAGTGCCCCAAAATCCACATTCCGATATCCACCGGGGGGGGCTGCATCCCAAAATCTGCACCCCGACAGCCCCCAAGGGGGCTGCACCCCAAAATCTGCACCCTGGCCCCCACCCTGGGGGTCCTGCACCTTCTGGGGGGGCAGGAGAACATTGAAGGGGGTGTCCGGAAATCCACACCCCAACACACCGTGGGGGGGCAGCACCCCAAAACCTGCACCCTGACCCCCACCCAGGGGCCCTGTTGCTTCCCTGAAGTCCCCAAAATCAACTAACACCCCCCAGTCTCCCAAATTCAGCCCTACATGCCCCCCCAGTCCTACCCCAAAGCCACCCCAAACCCCTTCCTAGCCCCACCCCAGTCCTCCAGAGCCCCCTCCCAGCCCACCCTGGCCCCGCAAGGCCCATTCCCAGCCCCCCCGAGGCCCATTCCCAGCCCCCCAGGGCCCCCCGAGGCCCAGCACTGACGCCCCGAGCTGCCCCGGGTCGCTGCGCAGCGTCTCCAGCAGTCGCCGGTACTCGGGGTCCCCCAGCAGCGCCCGCGTCCGGGGGTCCCCCTCGAGTCGTGCCAGCAGGTCAGGAGCACTGAAGGGGTTCAGCAGTTTCCGCTCTGAAATTAGATCAAGGACCTTTACAGGGACTCCAAATAACCTTCCTAGGATGCCCAGTCCCATTCTGAGAACCCCAAAAACTCCCCACACCCCCTCCCAGGGACCCCAAACCCCTCAGGGCCACCCAAAGCCTCTCACAGGGACCCCCAAACCTGCTCTGGGACCTGCAAGCAGCCTCCCCAGCCACTCCTCCACTCCCTGCAGCCCCTCCAGCCCCGTGTCAGCCCGCCCCTTCCCAGGCCCAAACCCCCCCAACCCCTCTCAGGCCACTCTCAGAGCCCCGCTGAGTCCCCCGTACCTGCCAGCCGCGTCTCCACCCCGCGCAGACCCTGCAGCAGCTGCTCATTCCCGGGGTCCCGTGCCAGCCCCTCCTCATATGTGGCCTTGGCCTCCTCCAGGCGCTGCAGGAACTCCAGTGCTGCTGCCTTCCGTGAGTACCCCTGGAAAAGGGAGCAAACAGGGACCCCGGGGTCAGACCTTCCCCCCTTGGAAAAGGGGAGCAAAGGGGGACCCTTGGGTCAGACACCCCCAGGGGAACCCTGACCCCTGCCACAGAGGAGACCCTTATGCCCCACCATCAACGACTACCCTTGGGGGACAGGCAGGAGGGACCCCTATGGTCAGACCCCCTGGGGCCCCCCAGGGTCAGAGCTCCCAGGGCCCCCCCAAGCACCCCCCCACCTTGGCCCAGTCAGGGCGCAGCTCCAGCGTGCGGCAGGCGTCGGCCAGGGCACGGGTGTAGTCCCCGAGCCGCGCGTAGGCGGCCGAGCGGTTGCTGAACAGGACGTGGTTGTTGGGGTCCCGCGCGATGGCGGCCGAGTAGTGCCCCACGGCTGCCCCCACGTCCCCCGCCGCCAGCGCCCGGTTCCCCCGCTCCTTCAGCTCCTGAGCCTGCGGGACACGGAGGGAAGGCACGGACCGCGGGGAACGGGAGAGTGCGAGGAAGAGGAGAAGGGAGACGAGGAAGGAGAAGGGAAGGGCGTGAGGAAGAGTATGAAAGGGACGAAAAGGAAGAAAAGGAGGGCAGAGGAACAGGCAGGAGAAAAACAAAGGACCCGGAGCAGCAAGGTGCGAGAAAGACGAGAAAGATAAAGGGGAGAGAGAGGAGAAGGGGCACGAGGAAGAAAAAAGCGAGAGAACCAAGAAGGGACGAGGAAGAAGAGGGGCGTGAGGAAGGTGAAAAGATGAAAGAAAGTAAAGGAGAAATGGACAGGGAGGAAGACAAACAGAAAAACGTGAAGATGGAGCCGGGGCCCCGGGCCCCCAAACAACGGGACACCGCCCTCCAGCCCCTCCCCGCCTCCTCAAGGACCCCGAAACCCCCTGGAAACTCCGTTTGCTCTCAGTTCCCCCTAGGACCCGCTCGCCACCCTCCCGGGACACCTCAAGGACCTCCAGACAGCGTGAAACTGCTCCGAGCCTCTCAGGGCTCCCCGATCCCTCTCGGAGTGCCTCGACCCCGGTCGGGGCCTCCAATCCCCTCAAGGACCCTCAGGGACCCCCAGGGCCCCCCGGCCCTCCCCAGGGTCCACCGGCCCTCCTCAGGCCCCCTCCCCAGGATCCCTCAGACCCAGACCCAACCCTGGGACCCCCTGGCAACACCCCGCACGTTCCTCCGCCTGCCTCTGGGACTCCCAGGACCCTCCGGACCCTCTCGTCCCCCCCAAACCTCCTCCATGGCCGCAACTCCTCTCGCGCCGCTCCCGCGCCGCCCTCTGGAAGCTGCTAGAAACCCTCGACCCCACCCCTCGCGCCCCATTGGCCGCCGCTCCCGCCCGCCCGCCCCCGCGCGCGCTCCAATTGGCCACCGCCCGCGTTTCCGCCTTCCCATTGACCACCGGGAGAAACGGTGCCCGCCCCCCTCCGGGCCCGCCCCCGCCGGAAGCCTGCAGCGGGTCCCGCCCCCGCCCGCTCCCATTGGCCGCGGCGCCCAGTGCCGGTTGCCCATTGGCCTCGCCCCGCGCTCCCTTCTGGAATTTTCCACTCTCCATTGGCTGCGAGTGACGCCTATCGGGGGGGTGGTGGTGGTGTGTGTGGGTGGAGGGGGGAATGCTCCCCCTGGCGGCGCGGAGGTCTGGCTGCCGAACGTGTCTCCCGGGGGAGCGAGGGGCGGGGTTTGCACGGGGGCGGGGCTTGCACACGATTCTCCCCCACACCCCCCCGGAGGCCAAAGGGAGTCATGTGGGGGGAGGCAGGTGGTCCCTGGCGGTGGGAAGGGGGGTGTTGAGTGACACACGTGTGACCTTGACAGGACTCAGGCATGATCCCCCTCCCCTGACACAACCCCCCCCAGCCTTCGTGCAAGGCCTCATACCCCCCACAAACTCCCCATTGCTCGTCCTACCCTGTGTCACCGCCACCTTATTACTTTCAGTGACCCCATATGACCATCCCTCAACTGTGCCCCTTCCCTCAAGACCCCTTGTGTGAACGCCCCCAGGTAACAGCTCCCCACCCCATCCCACGGGAAAGAGGCGCTGGCAGGAAAAGGAGCCGCTGGGTTTATTTGGGGGTCAGGGTTCCCCTCGGCCCTTTTGGGTCGATTTTTCCTGATTTTGGTCCTTTTTCCCCAAATCCAACAGCAGGGGCAGGGGGAGGGGTGAAGGCACCTCGCGGGGGGAAGGGAGGGGGCACAGACCTGGGAGGGGGGCAGCAGGGGACCACCCTGACCCCGAGTCCCCTCTGCCTCCACCCCCCAGGCTCTGCCCAGGCCTGGGGTCCTCCTGGAGATCCTGGAGGGATCGAGGCTGTCGGGTCCGTCCCTCTCCCCAATCCCATTCCTGCACCAAATCTGCCGTTTTCCCCCCAAAAAAGCCGTGGTGCCTAAAAAACACCTTAAAAAAGCCAAAATGCCCCAAAAGGGAGGCGGGGGAGGTGCAGGGCGACCCCTCTCCTCAACTCCCCGGCGGGTCCCTCCAAATGTCCTCAGAGCAGGGGCAGCAGCCACAGCCCCAGAGGGGTCCCCAACACGTGGGGTTTCCCAGGAGGAGGGACCCCCCATCAGGATCCCCCATCCCCTTCACCACCGCCATGGGGCACCTGACCCCCCCGGTACCCCCGAGCGCTGGGGAGGGGCAGCGGGGGCGGCGGAGGGGGGTACACGGTGCGTATTCCGCCCTCGTCGGGGGGTCGCAGGGGCCGCAGTGGCAGCCGCCCCGCTCTGCTGATTTTAGGGGGCGGGGGGGGTGCCCCTCCACGCCCCCCCCCGCCTCCTCCTCCTCCTCCACCATCCTCCCAGCACCCCCAGGATCACCCCGGCAGCTGCTGCTGCCGATGCCCCCAGAGCCGCGGCCGGGGGGAGTGCGGTGGGGGAGTCCCCGGCTGGTGCACCGGGAGAACCGGGAGGGGGGTCCCCGGCCCCAGCGCGGGCCTGTGTGCAGAGTGGGGGAGCGGCGGGGGGCTCAAGGGCCGCGAGGCACACGCGGTACGGGGCACGGGGCTGCAGCGCCCGCACCACATACTCTCCCCGCTCCCCCCGCACCAGTGTCTCGGTCACGGCCCCCCCTCCGGGCCGCAGCCAGCTCAGCCGCAGGGATGCGCCGGGGGGGGGCCGGTGGCCACCGCACCCGCAAGGCCCCCCCCGGTGCCGCCTGCACCCACAACCCTGGCGTGGCCGCAGCCCCTGGCGAGGCGGCCATGGCACCATTTGAAGCCGCTGGGGACACGGCTGCGATGCCGGGGGAAGCCCCCCCGGCCCCTGCGGTGGGGGTGTCACAGGCGTCCATCTCCCCCTGCAGCTCGCCCACCGGCAGTCCCCGCAGCCGCGCGGGTGCCTGGCACAGCAGCCCGCGCACTTCGAGGCGTGGCGGCGCACGCCGGCGCAGCCAGTCTCGCAGCCAGGCCAGGTTGCAGCCACAGAACCAGGGGTTGTTGCGCAGCCCCAGGTGGCTCAGGCTGCCCAGGTCATCAAAGAGCCCCCGTGGCAACGTCGTCAGGTTGTTGTCCGACAGGTCCAGTCGTTCCAGCGCCCTCATCCGTGCCAGTGCACCGGCTGGCACGTGGCTGATGGCGTTGGCGGCCAGCGAGAGCCGGCGCAGCCGCGCACGGGGCAAGTTGGCCGGCGGGGCCGCGAGCGCGTTGCGGCCCAGCGAGAGCTCACTCAGGTTGCCAAGGCGGCTGAAGGTGTCGTCGGCCATGCGCTGGTTGGCCAGCAGGTTCCCGTCCAGCACCAGGCGCCGCAGCGCCGGCAGCCCCTCGAAGGCGCGCAGCGGGATGGTGTGGATGCGGTTGTCGTCCAGGCGCAGCTCCTCCAGCGCCGGCGGCAGCCCGGCCGGCACGCTGCTCAGGTGGTTGCGTGAGAGGAAGAGGAGGCGCAGGCGGCGGTTCTCAGCGAAGGCGTCCTCCTCGATGCCGGCTGCCGACACCGAGTTGTCATCCAGGTGTAGGCGCTCAAGTAGCGGTGCCCGCGCCAGCGCCCGCCGGCACAGCCCGCGCACGTTGTTCTCCTGCAGATGCAGCTCCCGCAGTGCCGGTGGCAGGTGTGCCGGCAGCTGCTCCAGCGCGTTGGCGTACAGGTAGAGCACGCGCAGGGCCGGCAGCCGGCCCAGCCGCGCTGGGATCCCCGCGTCACCGATCCGGTTGTTCTGCAGGAATAGGGTGGTGGCGCCGGGCGGGAGCCCCTCAGGCACGGCCGTCAGCCCCCGGTCGTTGCAGTAGACGCGGCCGCCGGCGCAGCGGCACACGGCGGGACAGGCCGCAACAGCCGCGATGGCGACGAGGACGACAGCGGTGACAGCAGTCAGGCGCCGGGGCGGCCCCCCCCGCGGCGCCCAGTGCGGGGGAGGGAGGTGGAGGAGGGGGGAAGGGGGGGCCATGGGTGGGTGGGGGGTCCTGTGGGTTGGGGGGAGGTGTCAGGACAGTGGGATGGGGATGCACCCTGGAGGACCTGGGTGCTGTGACCCAGCCCCACGCTGATCCCATATATAGGGCAGGTGCCCCTGCCTCAGCACCCCTTCATCATAGGGGACCCAGAATGCCCACCCTTACCCCATAGAAAGGGCGGAGACACTCCTCTCTCCCATTATTAGGCACCTCCTCAACATTATAGTTTGCAGACCCCTTCAAGCCCCTCCCCTGTAGGAGATTCCCCTGACCCCATACCCAGAGTAGGGAACCCCCAGGCCCCCACCGTCATAGGGTCCCAGGCGACCAGGTGTGGTGGAGTAGGGCCCTACCTGGGTCCACCTCGGTCCTTGTGCAACGGTTGTCCCCGTGCGATGGGTCCTCATGCGAGGCCAAGGCTACCGGTGCCGGTTCTCCATGGCCCCCCCCCCCCGCCGGGGGGGCCGCTTTCGATGGGGAGGGAGTGTGAGCCAGGGAGTCCTCATGTGACAGCCCCCCTCGTGCAAAACCTGCCAGGACCCAGGTGTCCGGGCCCCCCCGGGTGCCAATTACCAGCGTTGCTAACGAACCCCTTCCTCATTAGCAGCATCTTGTTAGGGGACCCCCCCCCCCGGGACCCTTGTGCCCCAGGGTCCACCTTGCGTCAGCCCCAGCCTCGCACAAGGGGTCACGTGACCCGCCCCGCAGGAGGGGACCCAAGTGATGCCCCCCCATGAACACCCCTGTAAGCCCCAGATACCCCGGTCCTCCCTGGGGTCTGAGGGGGCTCAGGGGGGTCCTGGGGGCCCTATGGAGGTGGGGGGTCGCTCTCCTGAATGCCGGAGTCCTGCGCCCCAGGCTGGAGCATCCCTGGATACCGGGGGGTGGGATGGAGGGTTTTGGGGGTCTGAGGGTGCTGGTGGGACGCGCGGGGTCTCGTGGGTGGGGGGTCAGGCCCGCGGATGCCTAGGTTCCTCTCCCACCACCGCCCTGGATGGTCTCTTCCCCCGGCTGGAGCATCCCCGGCTACCGGGAGGGTTTTGGGGGGGCTCCAGGGGGGCTGATGGGATTTGGGGAGGTTGGGGGGGGTTCTCATGGCGGCGGGGGTCATGCCTGGGTGTCCTCCCCTCTCCCGGACGCCTGGGCCCCTCCCCCTGGCTGGAGCATCCCTGGAAGTCGGCGTGGGGGAGGGGGAATCGCGGTTTTGGGGGCTGGGGTGTTCGGAAGGGTTTTGGAGGGGGATGTCTCTGCGGGGGAGTGTCGCTCCGGGGGTCCAAGGGCGGAGACGGGCCCCACTCCGGCCGACCGGCCCTTCCCCCGGGCTGGAGCATCCGCGGGTACCGAGGCGGGTGGGGAGTCGGGGGTGTCGGGGGCGTTGGTTTTAGGGGGGTCCCGAGAGTGCAGTGGGGATCAGGGAGCCCTTACCGGGTCGGTACCGGCGCGTGCGGGCCCGGCGGCGGCGGCGGCGGCGGCGGCTGCGGGCGTGGGAAGGCGGCGGCTGCGGGGGGGCCTGGGGGGGCCGGGCCGGACCCGCCCCCCCGGTGAGGGGGGACCCGGCGGGGCCTGAGGGAGGCCGGGCCGGGCCCACCCCCCAGTGCGGAGGGACCCGGGGCTGCGGGTGCGTGTGAACGTGGGCCGGGGGTAGAATTCGGGAGGCGGTGCGTTGGCCCATCCCCGCCTCGGTTCCTGGGAAGGAGGTGTGCGTGTGGGGGGGGGGGGGGGGGGGGCATTCACACCAGGACCCTCCTCCCTCACACGAGGGGTCCATCGTTCCCCGCTGGTGCCTTCAGTAAGGGGGAGAGGGGTGAATTTGGAGGCCCCTCGGGGGAGAGGAGACTTTCTATGGTGCTTTATAGCTGGGAGGTGGAGGGTCCTGCCACCAGGGTGGACCAAGACCTAGGACACCCCCTGCCCCCGCCTCCCATGCTGAACCCATTGGGTCCCAGGGTTCCCCCCCGGCCACAACCACCCCTGCCCTAAGTGCCCCCCAAAAGGGCCTACAACTTTCTTCCCCCCAGTCCAACTACTCCCCCAGCCCCAACTGCCCCCCAGGGGGGGTCCTAATACCCTCCCACCCCCTCAACTGCCTCTAACCAACCCCTCCATGACCCCAAATCCCCCGTCCCAAATAAACATGCTCAGCACAGGGGCCGCATCTTTATTGGGGGGCGGGAGGGGGGTTGGGAGGCCACAAGAGGGCCTGTGGGGTTGGGGCCCCATGGCCGGGGGGCGGTGTGAGGCCCCTCACGGCAGAGGGGTCACTTGTAGAGG